ACACTTCACAAGCACACCTAAAAATAAACATGATGTGTAAACATATTTGTACTTCATAAAAATCAAAGAAGTGAAAACATTATCTAAATGTAGCAGGAATAGTGAAAAGGCAAAACAGATTGACACTTCTTGGCTTTGTATATGTATACTTTACATTTACAAGGTGAGAAAATTTAGTGAAGCCAGCTGATTTGACACACTTTTAATTACTTTCAGCATGGTTAAGGGTCAAAAATAGAAATTCAAGATTAGGCAAGTTTTTCTTGATACTGACGTGCACCCAGTATCTTTTATGGAATTTACAGGGATTGCTGCTAGCTGAACAGATTTGCTCAGTCTAAACACATCTATCAAGGTGTAATTCCTGTTAATAGACCTTTTCAGAGTCCAACATCACATTACAGCTAATCTCCTCACCACAGCAACATACACACAGTCACAGATATAATCTTGGGCATTGACACAAGAACAGCATGTATATTTCAGAAATAATTCCAGCCAGGCAAAATAGTCATCTTCAAAAAAAGACTGATGAAATCCTACTCTTTAATGTGGAATACCAAAGACTACACAAACAAGCAAGCCACAGATCCTGGCATGAAGGAAAGTGAACGGGACTTTTGGTAACAACACTGCATTTTTCACAGAAGATAAAAGCACCTTCTCATTTACTGGTGTCATTTTCCTTTGTGCGTAGATATCCTGTGCAACAGCAGTACCACTTTGATACTCGACACCTCGATTGCGCAATTGATTGTAGAAGACCTTGAAATCAGCAGGGAATCTCATGTAAGTTAAGGAATTCTAAGCGTAGAGTGACAGCATTTGTTATTTGCTTCACAAGCTTGCCAGCACCATGGACAAGTCTCAGTATCTTTCCATTAAGCCTTTCAAAGGAAAAGCAACTATAGACACAACATGGTTCCAAAGTCTGAGCTACATCAACTAAATGAAGTACCTGATACACATTTATACTCATCCGTAGATCAAAGCACAGGGATCCAAAACTTGCAAAGTAGTGAATGCTCACCTGTCACCAGTGCAGAAACTCAACAATTTCTAACAATTCTCTGCCTGGTATTTACACAGCTTCTACAAGAAGAAGCTGGTGCTGTTAGAAATCACCAGGTAGTGTACCACATAGCACAAGGTCAGGGTAATATGAAAACCATGTCCTGCATTCATTCATAGTTTGCCATATACTGTTTGATAGATCTTTAAAGGCAAGATATGAGAATGAGTGGGGTTTTTGGTCATTTTTTTACTATCATTTTGTGTTTTCACAATTTTTATAATTTTCATTGTTCTTCTTTGTACGACGTTCACAGGCTTATTGGTTTAATGACATGTAGATTTTGTACACTATATGAAATGTTTTTTTAAAAATCAATTACTTGCACTATAATTATACTTCTGTACTTTATCCCCCTTTCTCCTATGTACTGCTTGTGAATTATGTTGGATATCAATTGATGCCTTTGAGAGCTTCCTTGAGAGCTTTGGTTCAATATCTATGAGGGCTTTCAATGCCTTGATTGAAAGCTTCTGGATATCTTTGAGAACTTTGATGTTTTGATGTCATTGAGAGCTTATTCAATACCTAATAACCTATTCCCTCTTTTATATCTAGGAGCACTATCCATTCATTCCAAATGTGAACGTTTGATAGCTATGCTGCTTGTAAGAACAAAAAATACAAAACTGATGTTGAAATTCTCTGTTTGGGTAGTGTCTGTCATTTAGAATTTGGCTTTTTAAAGATGTATGTCACTTTTTAATTGTTTGTAGGTTAGAGATATTTTTCTTTCATTATATTATTTTGTCTGCATTTTCTTTGACATGTTAATTTTTATTGTTTTAAAACTCTCATGCTGCGATATTAGATATATATTTTCAACTCCTTTTCTACAACTGTTGCCTTAATCTGCTGTTCATTTACAGTAAGAAATTTAGACAGGAGGGAATTCTTTTGAGATTTATAGTAGCGCTTTCTGACTTGGAAGGGAGAAAGCACTTCTTGAAGGAATAAGAAAAGAAAAGTGCGATTGTTGCTCTTTGACTATGTATATACATCCTAAATGTAGGATTAGTATTTATTTGTCTAGACATTTCTTCCACATAATGTTAAGCATCATCTGAATTTGACACCTCTATTTCACAAAGGAAGAGCCAAAACTGTACATCAAAAATCACTGACAGTTAACATATGGCATATAACAGAGCATGGAAATGATAACAAAGTAACTGATGTACTCTGGCAATAGTAGAGAAGAAAAGATCAGACCAGAAAGGAGCACATGAAGAGAGAAATCTTAGACACTACCTTAGAGAGCTGTACCAATAATCTACTATGTATAGATATGAATAGAGTATTGCATACTGAAGGATTGAAGGAGCCTTACCCTAAGATAATGAACCATCAGCTTTCTAAGAGTGTGTATGTAGACACCCCAGCCCAGAGGTACTCAGGAGGAGTATCTAACTCTGCAGGTAGTAGTGTTAGCCTAAAACATAGAATAAAACAATGTATATCACAGAACTAGCCTATTCTTAAATTACAAAGATCATTATTACATTCAGATTTTTTTGATCTTATCCCTCGTGGAGCCATTTATGACATATCAACCAAATGCAGAGAAACAATTGATAATGATGTTTCTTTGTAAAATGTAACTTGCTCCTTATTTTCTTTGTGCAATGGAATTAAACAGGGTAAACACTTTTTTTTCCAATTGTCAGGATTTCCAAGAGCCTGTTGCATTTAGATGGCATATTCTGATTCAGAGTAAACCAGTGACCACCAGCTGACAATTAGTTCACAGCACACTGTTCCTTGGTGAGAAAGCTCTGGGAGCCAAGCAAAGCAGTGCACTTTGCACCAATTTCCTGCAAAATCAGACATACCTTTTCAAATATTGTGGGAGACAGAAAGGTAATTGAGAGGAGAACATACTCAGAAACAATAAGTTTAGAAAAGCATCATTTGAGAACAAGAAGAGGGGGATTATTGTAGCCAGAATTTGGGTGAATGCACCCCTAATAACTTCTATTAAAAAACAAACCAGAAATACCACTGTAAGCCAATGCCACTGTAAGAAAATGGTTATCACTGGTTAAGTCTCATCAAATTGTGCCATATTTAGGAGTTAGAATGATTGGAATAGTCAGAATTTCAGAGACGGTGATAAGAATTTAGCTTATGGAACCCATATGCAAACTCTGGAGCTTACTTCATTTACCCTAACTTATCACTTAAATCAAATTCATTAAGAAGAGTTATGCCAATTAAAGACAGAATACAGACACTTGGGGTTTAACACATCCACCTGGTGCATTGGGTATAAATATCACATGGATTTGTGATTGTTATGACCTGAAATACTGGTCACACCATCTTAATTACTTAATGGTTGGAAAATAACAAGAAAGCAATCTAAATTTCGTCAAAAAGAGCTTAACACGACTGTTAATCATAAATAATCATTAACAGAACATTATGCTATGGCTGCAACACTAATATTACTTGTCTTCTCCTTTTTACATCGGCTTTTATGACTATAGTCATTTGCAGCACTGCTCTATTATAGAATCATGGAATTTTACGGCATAGGAGCAGAGGAAGAAACTATTCAGCTCATCATACCAATAACAGTTCTTTGGTACATCTATTCAATGTAGCCCACTCTCCTGCTTTTCCCTCACAACCCTACCGTGTTGCTCCTTTATGTATTAATCCAATTCCTTTTTGTATAGTATTGATGAATCTGCTCCCTGGCAGTTCATTTCAGATCAAACAAATCACTACATAAATAGGTTCTTTATGTCTCCTCTAGTCCTCACATTTGTATCCTTCTGCAATATTATTTAGTATTCAGTGAATGCAAATCCATGAAGTCAACAAATAGCCCTCTCATTTGCTGAGTTTAAGGTAATTATTCTATTACCTAGTGGGGACACTATTCTGTAATTGGCAGCATTGTTTATGTCTGTCCATATATGGGGTTTATACTGAGACTCATGCTTGTCCTGAACCTGTTTAGCAAGGGCAGCTCTCGTTGGAGTAGGTCATATCTTCTCATAATTATTTCCCATCTACTGTACTAAAACCCTTCATAATTTTGGACACCTTTCCAAATTTCCTTGCTTGACAACATAAGCAGTTTGTGCATCCACATTGTGTTCCTATTTACTTCATTCTGGTCAAGCATTTCCTTCACCCTGGGTAGAATTAATAAATATTTAATTTTTCCTTTTAATTTTAATGATAGAAGACCAGAGCACTATTTCCCTCTCTATGCAGTTATGTACCATAAAGTAAGCCACAACTTTTACATTTTTGGCCAATAGATCTTAGCTTGAAGATGCTAAGAGGTTGATTCAATACAGATCAATACATTCCTAAGTGTGGGAAATGTGAACTGGGAAGAGAACATATTGGGAAGTAGTAAATTTAAAAGTACACAACTTGGGTGCACTAAGAGGGGATTGTCAAGATCACAGTCTAATTGAACACACCCTAATAATTTCCATTAAAACAAGATACAAATCACACTGTTGATACTGATGTAAGATGCACCTATTACTGACTGCATCCCATCAAATTGAACCGTGTTTAGGAATTATAATGATTGGAAGAGTCAGAATTTCAGAAACTATGAGTAGAACCCTCTGGGATTTGCTTCATTTACCCTAACTTATCACTCAAACCAAATTCATTAATAAGGGTTGTGCCAATTAAAGACAGAATATAGACACTCGGGATTAACACATCCACCTGGCGCATTAGGTATAAATATGACACGGATCTGTGATATTGTTATGGCTTGAAATACTGGTCACGCCATCTTAAATACTTAACAGCTGTAAATTAACAAGGAAGCACTCCAAATTTCATTGAGAAGAGCTTAATGTGTCTTATGGCTGCAATACTAACTTTTTCACTTGTATTCTCCTTTTCCCAGTTGGTTCCTCCGGTAAACTGCACAGGGGTTTCTAAACTTTTCTTAGGACTTCAAGCTCCCCAAAATATCTCCTTCCCCTTCAGTGCCATGAGACTCGGATCCGCCATGCAACTTGCAATCGAGAAAGTCAATTCAGACCCACTTTTCATGCTAAATTACACACTGGATTTTGTGTACGCCGACAGTGACTGTGACCCAAAGGCATCCATTAATGCATTTTTCAGCCAGGTACAGAAATACCATGTTTCAGTTCTCTTTGGGCCAGCTTGTCACAAGGCAGCAGAGGTAAGAACTATGTGTTGAGGATTTTGCATCTGGTGGTCAGTAGGCTACTCTGCATTTTGTATCATCTACTGCAATTTGCACAAAATTGTTAATTTAGTGGTAAAAATTCTAGAGGAACAATGCAACCCCTTGGATTCAAAGAAAAAATGTAACTAATTAAACTTGCAATTTTTAACATTTGAACCAAATTATATCGTAATCTTGAAACGTTTAAAGTAAACCTAACAAGAGATTCTCCTTAGGTCATTTGTCAATCTTTCAGAATTCTGTCTGTCTCCAGTTGTTCTGATTTGGGAAGCATTGCTTTATGTGGACTGTCAATTTGAGAAGTTATTTTTGTCTGGTAGGTGAGACTGCATCCAGAAGAAGCAGCTACTGATGTATTTTTTTAAATTGTTTGCAAATATTGTCAGTAAAGTACGAAGCATAAATTTAGAGAATGTTTCCTGAAACAGAAAGGACATTGAACAGGTGAACAAGGAAGGGAATGAAATGATATAATCTAAGGAAGTAAAATAATTTCCGAAGACAATAAAAATGAAGAAGATGGAACGTGAAAGGAAATTAGGGCTGTGAAGGGATGAAGAAAATCGAAAAAGAATGACTAGAATAAGAGTCCAAATACAAAGGAGAACATTTAAAGCAATGATAAAGAAATTAATAGTTGAAGAAGTCAAATACAGTTGAAAGGAGAAAGCTAAAAGGGTAGTACGGTGGCTCAGTTGTTAGCACTGCTGCCTCACAGCACCATGGACCCAGATTTCATTCCACCCTCGGGCGACCGCCTGTGTGGAGTTTGCATGCTCTCCTCGTGTCTGCGTGGGTTTCCTCTGGGTGGTCTGGTTTCCTCCCACAGTTCAAAGATGTGCAGGGTAGGTGGATTGACCTTGCTAAATTGCCCGTAGTGTTCAGGGTTGTGTAGCTTAGGTGAGTTATAGAGGGATGGGTCTGGGTGGGATGCTCCAAGGGTCAGTGTGGACTTGTTGGGCCAAAGTGTCTGTTTCCACACTATAGTGATTCTATGATAAAAGAAAGATGGATTAATTTCAATTTTGTTCTTTTATTAGACTGCTACAATCTAGTGTGTATTAACTATTGTTGTGACTTACTGTTTTTAGATTACAGGTTTACTAGCCTCTCAATGGAACATCCCCATCTTTGGATTTGTGGACCAGACACCTATGTTAGATCATTTCCTTGTGTATGACACTTACATAAAACTGCTATCTCCACCACAAATCATCAGCGATGCCCTGACTAAAACATTGCAGTTCTTTGGCTGGAAGTATGTTGCCCTTATTGGAGGGACTGCAAGTGATTCAACATGGGACAAAATTGATGAGCTCTGGGAAATTGTGGTAAGGAAATTGGAAATAAGCTTTATCATCACAGCTCAAGCCAAATATGACACAGACAACTCAACCCTTCATCAGGAACATCTCAAGCAAATTGCCACTGTAGCAAGAAGTAAGTGTCACTCTTCATTGCATAATCAGATCATTGGGGATATTTTCCCATGTTGAGGGGTGGGGGGATGGGGTGGGTGGGTAGGGGCCTGCTTTGGGTACACATGGGGTGATAAATTTGATTAGAGTTGATTAGAAAAACTGAAGAGTACCAGCCAGTATGGTAGTTGATGTTCACAGCACTTTACGTTTGTGTGATTTCAGGGCTTGATAGTTTATAGCCAACTTCTTGGAAGTCTTGCATTTCATTCATCTCTAGCCTTGTGAGATCATAGAGATTAGAGACCTAGCTATCTTTTGAAATATTCGCTTGTGTTCTTTTTGAGGATCTGTTCCCAGTTGTGTCCCACATTATCACATTTCATTCCACACGTAATTATCAGCACTTATATCTGCCATGATGCTGCACACTAAGTTACCTGCATCATGGCTGAAACTGAACATATTGGGTTAAGAACCAGGAGCTTTTCTCCATTGAATTAACAATTCCTTAATCAACAATACTTCTGATGTCACAAATCATGTCATTCTATAATAAACAATGCATTACAAATATGTATATACCTGTAAATATGTAGACAATACTGAACAAATGTGCAACGTTCAAGGTGACTATCATTGTTTCATTTTTAAGAGGAAGATTGCTTTCTTAATTTTTCACTCTGATTTTGTCTTTTAGAACTTAAATAAGTTAATTCATAGTTATTTTATGTTCTATATTGGTGTTTTAGCTTTATTTTATTATTGAGATACCTTAGGAAAGGGCTTTCAAAGTCCTTTATGAATAGTGAATTTTAGAACTGAGATGAGGAAGAATTTCCTCTCAGAGCGTTAAACCCCTTGCCACAGTGAGCTGTTCGGGCAGAGTCTGTTTGTATATTTAAGGCTGAGATAAATTCTTTATCAGTAGAGGAATCAAGGGTTATGGGCAAAGGGCTAGAAAGTGAATGTGAGTGTTGGATCAGCCATGATCCTGTTGAATGGCAGAGCAGGCTTGAGGAACTGAATGGCTTTCTCCTGTTCCTCTTTCTTATGGTCTTATGGTCACTTATCACAAGTAATTTATAAGACTGGGATTGAAATGGGATAGCAGCATTAAAATGCAGGATTCAAAGTTGACGATTCAACCATTGTGACTATTTGATCATTCCACTAAGCGATGGCTGATTCGAAACACTGATTCACACAGGGTGAATATATCTGCCTTTTCTCCATATCTCTTAATGTCCTATCCGACAGAATTCTTTCAGTTTCAGCCTTGAGCATTTTAACTCTCTATTCACATTTATTTTGAGACAGAAGAGTCTTAGATTTCAATAGGGTATTTCTCAGCCATTCAATTAGGCCTACAGGGCCTTGATTGACAGATCATTCCAAAGCATGTCATCCCTGAGAGTACAATGCTCTCTCAATACTGTATTGGAAGTCCTGATCTGGCTCAATCCCTACATCGGGATTTGAACCATGAATCTTGTAATTCAATCGCAAGGGTGCTACCAACCAAGCAACAATTAACATTGAACAGAATACCCTTATTTTAACATTTGAGACATTTGAAATTAAAATCCTGAAAGTAAAATACCGTGAATATTGGAGATCTGAAATTATACAGAAAATGGTGCAAGAATCAACAGGTTTGTCAGCATCTGTGGAAAGAGAAACAGTGAACAATTTGAGTCCAATATGAATCTTTGGAAGTGTTTAGTTCTGAAGAAAAGTCATATTGGACTCAAATGTGCTGAGCCAATTTTTATTGCCCACTTTTAGTTGCCCTTGAGAAAGTGGTGATGAGCTGCCTTCTTGATTTGCTGTGGTCCATCTGGGGAAGGTCAACCCAGAACAATGTTGAAGCGTGAGTGAATGGGTTTGCATGTGGTACCAATCAGGCAGGCTGCTGTGTTCTGGATGAGCTTCTTGAGTGTTCTTGCAGCTGCATTCATCCAAGCAAGCGGGGACTATTCCACCACACTCCTGACTTGTGTCTTGCAGATGGTGGACAATCTTTGGGGAGTTGCCAGATGAGTTATGCGCTAGTTTCTGACCTACTATTATAGCCAAAGTATTAGCACAGTTCACTTTCTGATCAATGGTAAACCCAGGATATAGATAGTGGGAGATTTTTTGATGGTAATCCTATTGAATGTCATGGGATGATGGTTAGATCCTGTGTTGTTGGAGACGGTCATTGCCTGGCACTTGTGTGGTACAAATGTTATTTGCCACTTGTCAGCCCAAACCTGGATATTGTTCAGGTCTTGCTACATTTGAACATGGACTGCCTCTTTATCTACGAAGTCGTGAATGGTGCTGAATAATGCGCAATCATCAACAAATATCCCCACATCTGAACTTATGATGGAGAGAAGACCATTGGAAAAGCAGCTGAAAATGTTTGGGCCTAGGATGCTACCTTAAAGTCCAACTGCAGAAAAGTCTTCGAGCTGAGCTGACCGGCCTCTAACATCTTCCTTGGTGCCAGGTATGGCTAATAGAATACAGAATAAGGTAACATGAACATGATAAATATTGATTGCTAATATTGTAGAGTAATCTTTTGCTTTAAATGGGTTATGTTGTTGAGTTAAAGAAATTGTTTTTTGATACAAGAACATATGAGGTTTGCTGGATTATAATGATCCGAGCATAAAAGCAAGATAGGACAATTCCATGTTGGATGATTTTAAAATCCATGTGCAAACAAGTAAAAGGAATGAACTTTAAAGACCTTTGAAATGCCAAAATGAACAACTGTATCATACTTCACCTTTCTTTTATTCACTTATGGAATGTGAGCATTATTGACAAGCATTTCTTATCCAACCCCATTGCTCTTGAGAAGGTGGTGGTGAGTCACCTTCTTGATCTACTGTGGGTCATCTGGTACATTTCACCCACAGTCCTGTTAGGAAGGGAGTTCTGGGATTTTGATCTGGTGACATTAAAAGAATGATGATACGGTTCCAAAACAAGATGGTATGTAGGTTTGAGATGAGCTTAGAGGTGGTGGTGTTCCAAAGCATCAGCCGCTCTTGTTCTTCAATGTGGTAAAAGTCACAGGTGCTGCCAAAGGAGAATTGACAAGTTTTTGAAGTGCATCTTGTAGATGGTGTACAGTGTTGTCAGTATGTACTGTTGGTGAAGGGAATGATTATTGAAAGTGGTGAACAAGAAAACCTTTTAAAAGATAAGCTCAAGAAGTCCTCTTCATGTTCTCCATGCCTGGGTAAGCACCTCAAAAATGCCCATGGACTGTCTGTGTCCCAATGTACTCTCCATTGTGTCTCATACTAATTATGGCATTTTCATCCCTAATGATCCACTATACACTGGGCAGAAACCTACACTGCCAGTAGGATGTGTAAACAAAAACAGAAAGAGAGATTTATTCACCACTCTCACTATATTTAAAAAAAAAACTGCTTTCAGGACAATAAAATTGTCAGTCATCTAGACTATGTTAGGTTATAAAGCTAAAACGGTGAAGCACTTGAAACCACTTAAGCTACTCTGAACAAACATTATGAAATTGATAGCAGAAACCAGAAGTCAGTGCTCTCAATCAAACTGAAGTAAAGCTGTTATACTAATCTAATAGTTGTCTGGGCTCCTAAGAGTATATTATAGGCTTAACTCATTAATTAATTGAATTAGACCATAAAACCATAATATATAGGAGCAGAATTAGGCCATTCATCCCATTGAGTCTGCTCTGCCATTCCATCATGGCTGATATGTTTCTCAATCCCATTCTCCTGCCTTCTCCCCTTAACCTTTGATCCCCTTACTAATCAAGAACTGATCTATCTCTATTTTAAATACACTCAATGACTTGGCCTCCACAGTCTACTGTGACAATGAGTTCCACAGTTCCACTGAAGAAATACCCCCTCACCTCAGTTCTAAAGGGTCTTCCCTTCAATCTGCAGCTGGGCCTTCAGGTCCTAGTCCCTCCTACAAGTGGAAACACCTTCTTCCCATCCACTCTATCCAGGCCTCTCAGTATTCTGTAAGTTTCAATCAAATCCCCCGCATACTTCTAAACTCCATCAAGAAAAGACTCAGAGTCCTCAACTATTTCTTATATGACAAACCCTTCATCCCTAGAATCATTCTTATAAATGTCCTCTGGACCCCCTCCAACACGAGCACATGTTTCCTTAGATACAGGTCTCAAAACTACTGTCAATATTCTAAATGCAGTCTGACCCGACCGTTATACAGCCTCAACAGTACATCCCTGGTCTAATTTATATTAAATTAGATGACAGCCACAATGGCGGAAAATGAACTTGCGTATCTAGAGCATTAGCCTCGGCATCTAGATTACTAGTTCAATGATGTAGCTCATATTTGTGGTGCAGTAGTAGTGTCCCTACCTCTAGATCAGAAGATCTGAGTTAAAGTCCCACCTGCTCCAGTAGGTGTGCAATAACATTCCTGAACAGTTGATTAGAAAATATCTATGAATGTACCAGCAATACATCTCCATGTCACGTCATTTACTTTGGACAGCATGGTGGCTCAGTGGTTAGCACTGCTGCCTCACAGACCCAGGTTCAGTTCCACCCTCAGGCAACTGTCTATGTGGAGTTTGCACATTGTCTGTGTGGGTTTCCTCTGGGTGTTCTGGTTGCCTCTCATAGTCCAAAGATGTGCAGGCTAGGGTGATTGGCCATGCTAAATTGCCCATAGTGTCCTGGGATGTTAGGGTTAGACATGGAGAAATGCAGGGGTAGGGGAATGAGTCAGAGTGGGATTCTCTTCAGAGGGGCAGTGTGAACTTGTTGGGCTGAAGAGCCTGTTTCCACAGTGGAGGGATTCTATGTGAACTTTACTCTTATAAGCAACACCACACAATCAATAAATTATTGGTTAGAGATTTTTACACCTATACTGAGCTTACAAACATAAAGACAAATGTTATCACATAATGAGCAGTAAGATCATTGTAATCATATAGTAGATCCTTCATTATGTTTTAAATCAATAACACTGTTTGATGTTTATTTTTCCAGTTGTCATTTTAATTTGTACTCCTAAGGTGGCAGGATCAATAATGTCAGAAGCTCAACAGCTTGGAATAACAAGTGGAGAATATGTTTTTTTTATATTGCAGCTTTATGAGGTGAGCAATGCTGCGGTGGTATATTTTTAAAATACACTTTTTACAATTAACCTTTTACAAGAAGGTGAATATTTGTTTGACAAAATCCATTACTCACAGCACAGAGTTAGCTGACTAGGCCTGGTGGAACTTCCAGCTTATAAGTTGACAATGTATATGTGTTGTTAACAGTATTTTGATCTTCCATAGAATTGACAGGTAAACTACATGCCAATTATGCATGAAAAGTAATGTTCTGCAGCTCATTCCTAATTCATAATGTAATTCAATGCTGATAATAGTTAATTAGTTTGTCACCTTGAACCAATAGTGAAGAGTACTGAGCTGAAAAAAGTCACAATAACTTGTGATACCGAATAATGTAAGTGCCTTCCTTGATTTTTTTTTCAATTGCTTAGATTTTGTGGACACGTAAATAAATACTTCAATGTTGGAAATTAAAATTGAGAGAGGTGTTTATCAGGCTGCTGAAACAGTATTAACAATTTTACATTATAATCCAATGTCAAACTTTTTTCCATAAATATGACATAACATGATCGGACAGCAATGTGGCTGCTGGCTAGGAAAAACGATTCTACATAGAACATAGAACTGTACAGCACAGTACAGGCCCTTCGGCCCACGATGTTGTGCTGAACTTTTACCCTAAACCTAAAGTCTATCTAATCTCCACCCCTACCTTATTCTATCATCCATATGCTTATCTAATAGCCGCTTAAATGCTCCGAATGAGGCCGACTCCGGCAATGCATTCCACGACCCTACCACTCTCTGTGTAAAGAACCTACCTCTGACGTCTCCCCTATATCTACCTCCACTCACTTTAAAACTATGCCCCCTCGTAATAGCTACCTCCACCCTAGGAAAAAGTCTCTGGCTGTCCACTCTATCTATACCTCTGATCATTTTGTACACCTCTATCAAGTCACCTCTCATCCTTCGTCATTCTAAAGAGAAAAGCCCTAGCTCTCTCAGCCTTTCCTCGTAAGACTTTCCCTCCATTCTAGGCAACATCCTGGCAAATCTCCTCTGCACCTTTTCCAATGCTTCCACGTCTTTCCTGTAATGAGGCGACCAGAACTGGACACAATACTCCAGACGTGGCCGAACCAGGCTTTTGTATAGCTGGAGCATAACTTCACGGCTATTGAGCTCAATCCCTCTATTAATGAAAGCTAACACACCATACACCTTCTTAACAACTCTGTGCACCTGGGTGGCAGCTTTCAGGAAACTGTGAACATGAACCCCAAGATCCCTCTGCTCCTCCACACTGCCAAGAATCTTTCCGTTAACCCTGTATTCTGCTTTCAAATTTATCCTTCCAAAATGAATCACCTCACACTTTTCAGGGTTAAACTCCATTTGCCACTTCTCAGCCCAGTTCTGCATCCTATCAATGTCCCTTTGTAACCTCGAACAGCCCCCCGGCACTATCCACAACTTGACCCGCCTTCGTATCATCCGCAAACTTACTAATCCACCCTTCCACTCCTTCATCCAAATCATTTACAAAAATCACAAATAGAAGAGGACCCAGAACAGATCCTTGTCGTACACCACTCATAACTGAGCACCGTGTTGAATATTTTCCATCCACTACCACCTACTTAGAGATTTCCTTCTAACAGTACTATCAAGAAATGTATTCCATGGCTTAAAGAATTGCAACAATCTTTGATTGCTTAAAAATACTTACCCATAAATTACTCTGTGTGATATTAGCTCATAAATTTTAATACTTTACTGCCTTAATTAAGTTATTTATCTAATTCAATTTCCTGTTTACACAATTCTGCAACAAGTCCCCTCGTCTGAAAGTTCCTCACTCCTGTGATGTATTATTTTAGGAATTGATTTTGTTCCCACATTCTCACAAATGTTCACACATTTTGTTACTTTAACAAGGTAAATCCAGATGAGAACGCTGTGTTTGTACTTCTGGTAGGGTGGCTGGTATATGTTCAAGTATTTTTGTACTTCAACAACCAGAAAACTCTCTAGTTATTCATGGCAAAACACGTAACAAATGCAGAGGAGTGCTGGAAGTCCCAATGCTTTTTGCTGTTGGCAACAAACCTGGGATGAAGGGAATAGAAGTGATACTTTTTGCTTCTGTTTGCCTTTCAGACATATAGATTAAAAGTAGGGTGTTTTCCACATCTTTCAGCATGTCATTCCAATCTTAGGCCACAATCCAGAGCCCCTTGCATTCATAGCTGGAGGTATACAAACAATATCAACAATAACAATGCACCTAAAGCAAGCAAGAAATGAAAAACAACAGGTAAAGATAGAATAAAAAAGAATTTACAATGTGCAATTCAGGGGTTTTGCTTTGCAACAATAAATATGTCTTTTTCACTTCTTACCCTGACTATCCATCACTCATGATTTATAAAAAGAAAGATATACATTTAGAAATTAACAAAAACAAAATACAGTTCCACATATCACCCAGCTGTGGTGCTATTCATTCCAGCAGTTTTAGTAGGCTACAGTGTAGATGAAAGTAGAGTAATAGTATTGAGGTTCATCCAGAATATCAGAATTCCACTCCTATCTGCCACAAAAGATCCGTAAGACAGTATGGCAACAGCTTACATTGCTTCATTTTTTTTTCATCTTCTCCACAGGATAACTTTTGGAAATCTGCTTTAGTGGATGGGAAAGATTCAATTGCCTTGAACCTGTACAAATCGGTATTCCTAATTGGACTGAAGTCATATTCTGAATATGGCTACTTCAAGTTTTTACAAGAAGTGTACCAACGATTAAAAGGAGCCCCTTTTTACAGCGATTTGTCTTCAGAAAAAGAGGTTTATAAGGGAACTTGCTTATGTTGCTAGAAGCATGTTATCATTCTTCAATAACAGTAAATAAAAATTAAAATGAAGCAATTTATTTATATATTCATATTGATACACTAATTTAAGTTATTAAGCTGGCTCCACAACATCATTTTTTTTCAGAAAGCTATGAAAAGGCAGTTTTTATGATGAAAAGCATTTTCATTTGGAAAATGCTGAAGGTCTGGAATACACTGCCTGAGATGGCATTGTATGCATTCAGAAGGGAACTAGATGTCTTTTTTGGAAAGGAACAATATGCAAGGTTACAGGGGAAGGTAGAAAAATGGCACTAGGTGTGATGATTATTTGGAGAGCCAGAGAGTTCACAACGGACAGAATGGCCTCCTCCTGCACTGTAATAATTCTGTCATTTTGTTTAATGGATAAAACACAACCAGGTGTAATGATGGAAAACATTGGAAAATGATCATGAGTCAATGTCAGGTGAGCACAGGACAGCCTCTATGTGATACCCTCTTCAGTCATAAGAATGGAAAATTCAATCAGGAAAGTGCTCTGGGAAAACCTACCACCACACTTGCATTTTGATGAGCATAGGACTAATAGTGCACCTTATCGTCAGTAAGAATATACTATATGGCAGCCAGCTGTGATATGTTGGAGGGAGAGGGTGGCATAATGGTGATGTTGCTGGGCTAGTAATCAGAAGGATTAAGCTAATGCTTTTGGGACTTGGGGTCAAATCTTATGATAGCAGCTGGATGGATTTACAATTCAATTAATAAATCTGGAATATAAAGCTAGTCTCAGTAATGGTAGCCATGAAGCTATTGTTGACTGCCATAAAAAACCCATCTGGTTCACTTATTTCCTGCAGAGAAGGAAATCTGCCATCCTATTTGGTTTGACCAAGGTACGAGTCCAAAGCTGGTTGATTCTTGACTGCCCACTGAAATGGCTGAGCAAGCCTTTCAGTTCAATGGCAATTAGAGATGACAATGAGTGTTGGCCAAACCATGCCAGCAACGCCCACTTGATGCCCATGAAATAAAAAAGAGTTCAGAAATAAAATGGACCTTTCAAAAGTTAGGACAAATATATCAAAGTATTACCTGGGATTTTATGTTCAAATCGAGGTAATTTTCCTGTTTTGATAACAGAAAATAAAGGTGAAGGTTTGTGGAATTCAAGCAGGAAAATCTGAATGAATGGTTCATGCCCTTCAAGTGACAAGTCCTTGACCTGAAGTTTGCCCATCAAAGAGAAATTACATAGAAAATAATTGTTTTTATTAAGTTATTCAAATAGTCATTATTATTAGCTAGAATTGAACAAAGCAGGAGGCATGTTAAAGACTTCATCATGATGCTCAGTGTTGCAACAGTGACACCTATCTGCTGACTGATGGCTTTCAAGATTTATTGGAAAATCAGGAGTACTTTTCTACAGCAAAAACTGGTTAAACTCAGAAGAACATACTTGTGCCACTTTGGGTCAAATGAGAGGTAATACTATTCAATTCAAAACAAAGCAAAATGCAAAAAAGCCCCCAGAAAAGCTGAATGAATTAAGAGGTAAACAGGCTAATGTTTCATATAGGACAATAAGGATATGAAAACATGAAACAAAATTAAAAATTAAAAAATAGAAAGTAGGCTTAGACTGGATAGCTCATTTTGGGTTGGCTCAGACACAATGGAGCAAATGTCCTCATTCTATCTCATTCATTCCAATGTCTTTCATACAAATCTTGCTTTAAGATGTATACTGTGATATTATTAAAGAGATAATGGTAAACACACCAAATTAATTAGATCATGCAATGGATTTAGGTGAAGAAATAGAAAGGATATATTAGTTTAACAATTGAATTTTAAGACAATTTTGAGTTTAATCTAATTTCATCTGGTATAATGCAGGTGAGCTCCTATGCAGCTTATCTTCATGATGCAGTAATACTATATGCTATGGGTGTTCATGAAATGTTAAAGGCAGGAAAGAACCCATTTGATGGAAGAGCACTTATTAAGAATTTGAAAGGTTTCGGCAAAGGGCGATTTTATGGTATGTAATAAAACATTGTACCTCAGGCTTTCTTGTTGTCACTTGCTCTTCGATAAATATTAGTACTCTCCTCTGTGGTTTGAAAACAGGGCAATTGAAACAGAATCTAATTAATCAGCTTATTTATTATTTATTAAATTCTTATTTATTAGCCTTCAATTAATCTCCTACTATTAACACCACAGGGACATCAGGTGGAACAAGTTAAAGTTGGCCCTGAAAGTGATGTTTTATTCCCTTACAAATGTACTATATGACTTTATTGATGCAGCACTGAGACCCTGAGGAACAGCAACAATTCACCACCACCTCCTTCAGGACAATTAGGGATGGGTAATAAATACTGATCCAGCCAATTATATTCTCATCTCTGACTGAATTTTTTTAAAAAATCAGTAAAGTTTTTTTATTTAAAGACCATTAGAATGCCAGTGAACTGGTGTGCATTCAATAAATAATTCTTTATGATAACTGGATAAATTACTAAAATTACTAAAATTCCTAATTAGTAATTTTTCTGTACCATTGTCTTTGAAGCTGTTTGAAAGAACAAATCGTTTTATACCCTTTTTATTCTCTCCTCATCTTGGCAGTTCATTGCCATTCCTCCTTCTCACACTGAAAAAAAAGTGAATGATCATGGATTAAAATGCTGCATCTAGCGTAGGACTCAATTATGGGCCAGAGGACAGAATAGGCTTTTCTTTCAATTGTAGATACTCTGCCTTCAAACAAACAATCTTATTCGTAGCCTAGCTGAGATTCCACGGAATCTGTCCAGGAAATAAATAAAATAACTATCACAAAAGAACAAGTGCTAGGGAAATTTATGGGCTAAAGACTGACAAGTTCCCTGGACATGATGGAATGCATCATAGGATATTAAAAGAAGTAGCTACAAAAATAATGGATGCACTGGTAGAAATCTTCCAGAAATCCTTAACTTCTGAAAAATTCCCAGATATATAGAAAACTGCCAATGTATCATCTTTATTTTAGAGACGAAGGAGACGAAAAAGATAACTATAGACCAATTTGCTTAATGTCTGTAAGAGTCTATTATAAAGGATGCAATAGAATCTATTATAAAGGATGTAATAGAACAGCATTTAGCAGTGTATAATGTGATCAAGCAGAATTAGCATGGCTTCATGAAAGGGAAATCAGGCCAGACAAATTTACTAGAGTTCTTTGAGGAGGTGATAAGCAGGACAAATAAAGGGGAAGCAGTGGAAGTAATATATTTCAACATTCAGAAGGTGTTTGCTAAGGTGCCACATCTTTGGCTACTAAATAAGGTAGGACCCCAAGATGTTGGAGGATGTATGTTAGCATGGATAGAGGATTGACTAACTATTGAAGACAAAGAATTGGGATAAGGGAAGCATTTTCAGACTGGGAATTTGTAACTAATAGTGTGCCACAGGAATTAGTATTGGGGCCTCAATTGTTTACAATACATATTAATGATTTGAATGAGGAAAATGAATAAGGGGTCACACATTTAAAACAGATGAGGAGTAATTTCTTCTCTCAGAGGGTTGTGAATCGATTGAATTCTTTACTGCAAAACGCTGTCAAGGCTGGTTATATTCAAAGCTAAGATAAACAGATTTTCAATCAGTAATTTTATCAAGGATTATGGGAAAAAGGCAGGTAAGTGGAATTGAGGATTATCACATCAGTCATGATCTCATTGACCAGTGGAGCAGAATTGTTGGGCTGAATGGCCTATGTCTTTTGTCTGTTGGTGACAGACGGTGGGCATTTTAGTTTGATATTTTAACCCCCTGAAGACATAAAGAACAATTTTCCAAAATGCTTTGGTGGAAACCATGCAGAAGGTATCTTCTTATTTGAAAACAAAAAGATGCATTTTGTCAGATATTGATGCACAAAATGTAGAAGAATAAAATTTTCCTGAGAGAAGTAGGATTTTTGACTAATGTGCAAAAATTATAAAAATAGTGCACAATTGTATAATTAATGGGGTCCATCTCCACACAAATCTATCCCCTTATGTGATCGTGTTGCAGTATTGCCTTTTACAAAATGAATAATGTATGGCAGTTTATATGTTTATTTATACTCTGTTTCCTGCCATTTTTCTGCCTTAAAAGCTATTTGTGACCACATCCCTACTCCAGCTGGAAGTGTAGGACAGTCTCAGCTATCATCTTTCTCCCCACTATCACATTTGCCACTCTTCAGTACTCAAGCAGCAGGAAGCACAATTGGAGTAGAGAAACTTACGTTAACTTTCTTTGCTTCTCATTAATGATATAGTTCATTTCGAAACAGACCTCTATCCAACAGCTAGCCAAGAAAGGATAATGCTCACATGATAGTCTGTTATAGTATATAGCCTGCAAATAGTCTGTTTATTATCTTTCTTAAAGTTATTGTTCTTTCCCTCTCTGTGGATTCCACTTTAAACCTCCCTCGACATTGCATTCATCCATTTTAATTTACACCTTCTTCTTAGTCCTTGCATTGTGTCTTTCTCAATCTTCCAAGTTGATTGATTGCCTACCCTGAATCAACTCAGATTCTCAGCAACTTGGCACAGAAATTAAACTAAAATCTAAATTTGCAAAGATACCAGTTAGTTGCCCTGTTGCAGTAACTGTAAGCCCAACATAGCCATGTGAAAGAAACCTAGTCAAATGGGAGTATATAAACTGCAAAAGGTCATTTATAGATAGGCATCTTACAGGCCCGAACTCAATGGAAATGAAAGCTGGAGTGCTTAGTAGTTGTGAAACTCTAGGTTTTGGAGAAGGAAATCAGGGCTGACAACATCAGCTTAGTCTCTCCAGAAAAGTTCTACCTAATCCTAAATAGTCATTGAACAACATTTGTGCCAGTAATCTACCATCCAAATCAAATTAAATTCATAGAAATTAATGTTTTTCTGCTTCTAATTGTAATAATATTGTTATGGATATTGTAAAAGTATTAGAGGCCGTAACATTTCTTTGTAAGTCGAGGACAAGCAGCCTGTATGAAAAGAGCAAACATCCTTTCACCCTCTTGTACTACTCAAAGCCATATAGAAATTGAGCAGAAACACTACTCTTGTTCTTAATAGGTATAACTGGACCAGTGAATATTGATAGTTCTGGAGAACGACATATGGATTATTCTGTGTATGACCTGCAATGGTATGAGAACATCACAAAGTTTGTTCCTGTTCTTCACTACGACAGTTACAGAAAATCAATACGGTAGGTTCTGTTGTGCAGATTATTATTAGGTCATTGAGTACTGCAGTGCTTTATAATTTCATTTTCATGCAGGTCTTGATATGATGAAAATCTCCTTCCTCTAAAGGGTCATGAAAAAGTATTTGCTAAATTTACTTTATATTTGGGGTAAGAACTGTGCATCATTCTGGTCACATCACCTTTCAAATACAATTATGTGTTTCCAAGTCATAATGTTAATATATGGTAAATACTCACAGAAAAAAAACTTCTTAAAAATTCAATTATTTTCAGTCGGAGTCTAATACCTTGTGACATTTTTACAAAATAAATTTCTGTTCAATTACACAACAATGTCAAGATTTCAGAAGTAACAATAGGTCATCAAATGGGGCTGGACAGATAGTAATTACGAGTAAAATCATGAATACATTTATGAAGATCACAGAATTTTACAGGAAATTTTCCTCTTGAAAACTAGCATGTTAGGTGGAATGTATATCACCAAACAGGACTTTTCCTTGGCACAGACAATATGTTTAATTCTGGTAAATGTACAGAATGAATCATAGAATGAATATTTCTTCTTTCCCACTTTTACAGCACAACGAGGGAATTTGTTAACATTTCATGGCCTAGTGGAACTCCAGTTAAAGACTACCCTGACTGTGGATTTTACAATGAACTTTGTGAAATAAACTCCAGAAGTAAACGTTTAACCAAGTCGTTCTCTTGTCCGGGACAATCTGGATGCATCAGTAGGTCTCTTCCCGTCCATCATCTTCCTTCGTTTCATGGTATATGTAGAATGCTTTGCGTAACATCACTGAATGATACAAGGACTTAAAGAATTAAATTGTGAAGGCAACTTCCATTGATTAGGTTTGTAAACTATTGAGCATTGAAGATTAAGGATTGATTTAGTTGAGGTGCCGAAGACAACTTAACGGTTTGAAAGTGGAGGTGGAAATAAGGGCTTGACACTTATCACAAATTGGTGAAGTGTCACTTTTGATTCCATGGAGGGTTTCTCTCCACCAGGCCTAGCAAGTGTTCTTGTGCTATCTATGCACCATAGTCAAGCACTGGCAGCCCAGAGTTGCCTTTCATCATGCACTTAATGGGAAAGTAACTACTAATGCTTCTAGGGCACATAGGTGGCACAACTGACACTCCATTGTACACACAAGTGCACAGGCTCACATCAATCACAATTTAGGATCCAAGCCATACAACTTATCCATCCTTAACCTCATCCTGTTTTACAACCCTCTCTAAATCAGAAAAAGCGAAAGATCTGCAGATGCTGGAAATCAGAAACTAAAACAGAAATTGCTGGAAGACCCCAGCAGGTCTGTGCAGAAAATCAGAGTTAACATTTCGAGTTTGGTGACCCTTCTTCAGGACATTAACTGTTCAGACCATTAACTCTGATTTCTCTCCACAGATACTGCCAAACCTGCTGAGCTTTTCCAGCAATTACTATCCAAATCATGCTACTTTTACCCCAATGCCCAATGTAGGCCAAATTCTCATCATTGTTTAATGTGGGATCAATCTCATACAGGGAAGCTTTGACCCATTTCAAAACATTCACTTTTATTCGGCAACAACAGAAGTGATCAATAAATGTACTGAAGCTGCATTGTCTTTCGGAACAAAAATAGACTGCTTCCTTTCGAGCACCAACAAATTTAGTCAATGAATGATCAATGCACCCAGCTTTCATTTATTGGAATAAGGTGTTAATTAAGTCTCTGGCTTATTGTGCCCATGCTGCAGAGCTCTGTCAGAGTGAAAGTGATGTTCATCCTGCTCAACGTCCTCATTTTCCTCCTCAGAAGACTGCTGCCAATTTCCCATCTCTCTAGCCTCGTCACATTCCCTTTTTGTCTGCTCCAGTTGTGTAGAGTGTAGCATTCCAGAGTAATGCAGCTCATTCTGTCCAGACTGTACTGCAAGACACCCTCCAGATTTCAATCCAAGCATTGGAATCTCATCTAGAGGAGGCTTACTGTCTGTTCCACCATGGCACTTGTTGATGAATGGGCTACATTGTGTCTACACTCAGCTTCAGTCAGGGGGTAATATAACATAATCATCAGCCAAACTTACAGAGGATAGCCCCTGCCACTTAGTAACCACCATTGCAATGTATCTAGCCCTTCAAATGAATCAGGAACATGAGCATTCTCAGGATGTAGTCACCTAAAAGTTTAAAGCAGTTGTCACCAACCACTGGCATGGATAGCACCCTGCTTCTTCAGGTCACAGGTTCTACTCCAGCAGTTGGCATAGCTTTGTGACAATGTCCTGGGACATCCTCAGTCTGTGGTGACACTATACCTCGCTTATCTGGAAATGGTGTCAAGATGAAAGACTCTGGGCCTCCTGCACATCCTGCGGGTCCTTCAGCTGTGACCTCTCCATGTGGAGGCTGTTTGGCTACAGGAATTTGCTGCTGGTTCTGGGCTTGCTGTCAAATCTGTTCCTCCTCCATCCCTCTGCATTTTTGCAGCACAACAGCAACAGCTATGGTAGCCCCCACTGTGGCTGGACTCATCTGTTACATTTGAAATGACCCTGTAGGGAGAACATAAGAAACACAGAGCAGATCCTCAGTAGTGTAAGTACTAAGTATTCACATTGCTCCATACAGTGAGACATGGGATATGGTGAGCAGTGATGTTGGTAAGTGTGGATGTCAATGTTCATGGAAAGAGGATGGGGAGTGCAGTCACTGCCCATCAAGCATGACCAAAGAAGTTGGTGCCTGGTGAGGAGCAAATGGTGATCTGGAGTCCCTCGGCATCCACTCAGACTTCCATGTTGTCACCATCTAGTAGGTAAATGGGAGCTATTAATGAGGTGAGATTAGATCATAATGTGATTTTAATGTATGCTGATGAATACAAATAGACATCGTGCTGCTCATAAGCAAGAATCTTATCTCACTGTTCAACATTTGTTTGGAAATTTGGACTTTATTGCTTTTAATGGCAAAAGTTTCTCGCTGGCCATCTCACACAATTTTTCTGACTTTGTCATTAATCCCCACATTGTTCAGGGGCTGGTAAGACTATGCCCACACTGTTTCCTCAGGTTAAAGAATCCAGAAAAATAGGGGCAGGAATTTGAAATTAGAGCTAAGTCATTCAGGGAAGATGTCAGAAAAAATATCTTTACACAAAGGGTAGTTAAATCTGAAATGTAGTAGTGATTTAGTCAACACGTCAACACACTCTGGCTGACATCTCTGTCTCTGACCTGTTGCAGTGCTCCAGCGAAGCTCAGCGCAAGCTGGAAGAACAATGTCTCATTTTCAGCCTGGGAACCTTGCAGCCTTCAGGACTCAATATCAAGTTCAATAATTTTAGGACCTGAGCACTTTCTCTCATGTCATTCCCCTAACCCCACACACCACGCCTTGACATCATATGGGCTGCTACCACAACCATCCCATTGACTGCCACTAATGATCTTCATTAGCAGCTTTTCTTTCTCCCAGGCTGACCTTTATGCATTCCTTTGTCTGTCCAATTGTTGTTCTCTCTCCATTTCCACCTAACATTTACTCCTATCGCTGCCCATCTTTAGCGTATATACCAACCTTTTTCTAGCTATAATTAATTCTGAAGAAGGGTCACCAGACACAAAATATTATCTCTGCTTTCTCTCCAAGATGCTGCCAGACCTGCTGAGTTTCACAGCAATTTCTTTTTTTTGTTTCATATTTCCAATATTCACAGTTCTTTGGTCTTTGTTTTAAATTAAAGAATTTGGGATAAACATCATGAGTTGCTTGTTGTTTACAAAACAGACACCTAATGTAGATTGACAGTGGTTTGTAAACCTCACAAGGGGCTTATTCAGTCTAGAAAAAGTCAAAACCTCTTACAAAAACTGAAACTTTCTCAGCCCCTGAATGATGTGGCCAATGGCAAGTTAGTTGGGAAAAGATGGCAAGATCAAAAAAATGATATTCTTGACTTTGAGGAATAAAGGACTGATTTTGCACCCAATGTGAGGCAATTTACATGCAATACCATCTCATGATTAACCTTTCTTGCCTCATTTATACGTAGTATGCTATCCTGTCACATAGCAGAGAGAAACTGGACAGACACAATTCCTGACATGAAAGGGAGCAGGTACACACACACATAGACACACACATACACACACACACACCACACACACAGAGTCCCTCTCACGTATGCACTGTTTCTCACACACACACTCACACTTGCATATGACTTATACACACATTCTCTTTCTCACACACACCCATTCTCTCACACACCCACTCTCTCAGTCTCTCACATACACACACACACACACACACTGTCTGTCTCTGTCACATACACACACTCACACACGCACTCTCTCTCTCTCACATACACACAGCACACACAAACAAAACTCATAGACATGGATAGACAGCAACTCAGAAGCAGAAACTCGGCCTGGCTTTTCCTCTCCATAGTCCATTGAGTAATATAGTCAACTGGTATTGCCTCAGAAACCAAACACTGGGACAGACTGCAGGACCTTTCTGTCTGGACAGCTCATTATTCAGTCCAAGGCACAAGCCTGCGAAAGAACTGTTGTGCTTAGTTCCACAACCCCACTTTTAGATCCTCATCCTCAAACATAAACTCCTTTTTAAAATTGATAATGGAATTGGTTTGAACCAATGTTTCTGGCAGGACATTCCAGATCCTTATGGAGAAATTTCTCCTTGTCTCCCCTCTACATCTAATGTCTTATGCATTTTTTACAGGCACCATTGCTTACAATGCTACAGTGCTTTCTCCATCAAACACAACAGGTATTGGAAATGAGTTTTCTGAGAATGTGGTGATGTATCTTAGCTGTTTAAAATGAGAGTGAAATCCTGGAACAATGGTGCAGTGACTGTGGAGTTTGGAAGACTCTTATAGAAGTAGACTTGTCATTGCAGCCTTTGCCTATAATCTTCCATAAAATTCACTTATAGTCAAGCTTGGTGTTACCTACTCATTATATTTATAAATCTTGCTCACATCATGTACTGTGGGTTTGCACACAGTATAAGTGGAGTTCATTTGCAGAGTCAGAAGAGGCAGCATGCTTGCAGTAGCAAACCTGTTTTTCACTGATTTTCATATCCAATGACTTTGGATTTGTTCTATTAAAAAAAAGCCCATTTTTTTCCAGATTAGCCCCACAGCTGGTGAAAATGGAAATCAACAACATCCAACCTAACCATTTGTAACCAGTTTGCAGAAAATCCCTCTGTAATTATTACCTTGTCTGTAACTGGTAACTGCAAATGGGTGTTTGAAATTTTATATTTTGAAAATGACATTAATGGGCACATGGTTTTTGTGACTGTACAAATGTTCCTTCTCACCAGTCCATATGCATAGACAAATTCTTCCTCCTTTGTTCTTTTGTCATTAGCATCCCATTTAAGTTGTGTAATTATATTTTGGGAAGGACTGGACAGTGAGAGTTCTGGTCAAGTCCAATTGTCTTGTAACACAGTAGTGCTGGAAACTCAGAAAAGTGCTAATATGTTGTTGAATATAATGAAAATTAAAGTCAACAGCTTGCAAACAGCATGGTAGTTTGTAGATGTATGGAAAATCTCAGGGTATAGTCACTCTTCTAAAAATTAGCAAGGGTACAATTTTAAGAGGCTTAGACAAACAAGCCAGAATTAATAATTTCATTTTGGAACTGATTCTGTTTGTGGTCATTTAAATTTAAAAGCTGATTTTGTAAAGTAGTATTGCAAGGAGGAGTGACTGTTGATTATTTCTCTGATCTGTAATCTTGCTCTTTTTCCCGCAGTGAACGTCACTGTCACTACTACGACATCTCCACAGAACGCAACAGGTACTGAAAATGCCCTATTTGAAAGTTTGCTCTTTGGAAACCAACCATCCTACCCCTTTCTCAAGCACCTATCCACCCACTGAACTTAGAGATCTCCTTCCTATGCTGAGATGTCCCCTTAACGCTGGCTGTGACCACTGAACTATGTTTCCTCTCTCCTTCTAAGCCATCTTGTTACTCATGCTCTTAGGTCTTATACATAGTCACTGCTAACTTCCTGTCTCCTCTGCCAATAACTGGCTGTCCAGTTGTGAAATTACCAGATCATGGAGCTCTGTTGTGTGACAGCAAGAGAGCCACAAGTTGCAACTCTGATTGTCAATGAGCAAACATTAAAATGTCTGCATTTAGGAGTTAGAATTCTTCTCATAGTAATATTGCCTGCTATAGATGTTAAATTTCTTTATGGCAGACTCTTATGTATTACAATTCTGATAAGTTCTGGCCACAGACATTCCTGCTGAATATTGTCAATATAGATTGGTTTGGTTATGTACTCACTTCATTTGCTTTGTATTTTCAGATAACATCATTGTGATATCTGTCGTTGTCAGTGTGGTCGTGGCTTTTGTTGTAGCTGCTGTTACTGTCTTTCTAACAGTACGGAAACATAAATCATTAAATCAAGATCAGGATATGTGGTGGAAAATAAATTATGAAGACATAACTATCCTGAAAGATAACAAGGTACAGGATTAGCAGCATGTAATGTTTTTGCTGTTATTAAGCATTAAAAGAGACCTGAAATGAAGCACAATTTTGCACAAATACAGTATTTGTTTCTATATCAATGTGCAGAAGCCTGGTACCACCGCATCAACCAAAGAAGTTGGAAGCCTTGGATCAAGTACTAACATCTCAAGCCATCAGAATTATGGTTTCAGAGATGAACTAGGAAACAGAGTAGTTTATTCCACAGTCGGTTTTTACCAGGTGAGTTTACTTCATGAATACTTACATTGTTAAATGTTTCATTAATATATTGCTGCATTGAGTAACATCAGGTCATTGCCAGCAAGAAAATTGTTAACACAATTTGGTTGAAATTGTTTTTAAAATGCTTTCGTAACAGCACTTTGAATTAAAGGCCAATTCATCTCAGTACAAATATACCTTGTTAATGTGATATTTCATATACACTGACTTATATCGCATCAAGAAAATATACTGTGATTATCAAGTTTTTTTTATTCATGGGATGTGGGTGTCGCTGGCTAGGCTGATATTTATTGCCCACCCTAATTATGTAGTCAGAATTTAAGAGTCAATCTTTGGAGCTAGGGTCATTTTTTTGTCCAAAACCAGGTAAGGACGGGACATTTCCTTCCCTAACCATAGAGTTCATGATCTTATGGGTTTTAACAGGCCCTCTCCATGTTCACTTGCCAAGTTCACTTTGAGTGAGGAAACCCTGCGATGGGGGATATCTGCACCACCATTTGCAGCTACCTCTAATTTTCCTGCCATCAGTCTGTGCCCCAATCTCTGGGCTCCAATCCACACCTCTTTCACACCACCTACAAACCCTGCTGCTAGGCTCCCAGCATTAGCAACACCCACCCCCAGTGCCCCCCCTAGGTGTGGAGGAATTGCCGATTACTGATATTCCCACAATCTTTTGTTCTGTCAGCTCCTGCATGGTCTGATAGGTAACAATCCATACCATGATCTCAGCTGGACTGGAGATAACATGATGGCACAGCATCACCTACAGGTGCAATCCCAATTGAATTTTATGGCAATCAAAAGTTGTTAACAATAAATTGGTAAACATGTTGTCCTCATAAAATTAGATACTAGTATGAAATACTGTTGTACGGATTTACTGTTCAAGCAAACTTCCAAACAAATAAGAATCTTTGATATCAGCTAAGTCATGATTATACCTCTACTGTGTTCTGATTCTGCTACAGTGTACACATTGTCCTTGTTTCTGGAAGTGTCTGAATATAGGCAGTGTAGTGACTGAACCCATATCAAAACTACTCAATCTGTGAAAAATGCTCAAAAACATATCACCATGCACAGAAATCCAAAGTAATCTTTAGGGCAGAGTGGGATGCCATGGACTTCCCCATGAGCAAATGCACTAGCCTGTGGGCTAAGGGAGGTGATGGCCTAGTGGTATTACTGCTACACCAATAGTCCAGAAAACCAGGTAATGTTCTGGGGACCTAGGTTCAAATCCTGCTGTGGCAGATGATGGTGTTTGAAGTCAATAAAGAGTCTAATGATGGTCATGAAGCCATTGTTAATTGGTTCACTAATGTCCTTCAGGGAAGGAAACTGCCATCCTTACCTGCCCTGGCCTACATGTGACTCCAGACCCACAGCAATGTGGTTGACTCTTAACTGCTCTCTGGGTAATAAATGTTGGCCCAGCCACATCACACATTTAAAAAAGAGGGGCAGGTGGGAGAACTAGTCTTTGGTTGAAGTATTGTGTGATTTTTATATATCCTGCCCAGACCTCCTGTAATCTGGGAGCATCCCAAAGGTAGATCTGTCAAGATGTAGAGTGGGTTCTAAAAGCTTAAATGCACAAGCTAACTGACGTATCCATTTTCCTGAAAAGACAATTTAATTAAGAGGGTGCCAGCATCCATGACATGCACCAGTTTAGTGCCTAGTACACAGTCCTGTATTAACTCATCCCCAGTTTTGCATAATAAAAACTGATTCATCATTGAAGGAAAATTTCATCAGGCAACCACCTAGTCAAATCACAAATCCATTGAAAGAAAACTTGTTGAAAATAAATGAGATTTGATGACTGCTGTGGTACTTATTGTTTCTGCCTGACAGGGAAATTATGTAGCAGTTATGTACCTTGATGGATCAATATCTCCAGATATGAGCAAGCAATCAATACAACAAGAACTGCAGCTGGTATGACAAATATGGTTACAGTCAGTGTACAACTGAATACCTGTCAGATTATACTTAAAAACTATAAGTTATATATGACTTAGAAATTGTTTTCTTGTTGATTCTTTTTCCACCTTCTCTCTGCTCCTTTTACAAGATACGACTCTTACTAGGTTCCAGTTCCTCGGGTCACTGCAGCCCTATGCCCAAGCTTGCTCGGCATGTACATGTCTAAGCAATGAGTGCTGCCAACCTATTCTTTCAAGCCTGGTCCTGTCCCTCACTGGCAACCAAAGACATGGACCACCCTATGGTGATTGCTTGGTAATTCTTGGGAGCAGTAACCCTGGCTTCTTTACTCATTCACAGTTTAAGAGCACTACGGCTGTTAAATGTGACTCTTTTTCAATTCCCTCTTGTTTAATTCAGCAAGTAATAGGGCTCACTACAATCAGTGACTAGAACCTGTTACACAAGCCCTTTAGTAATGTCATCAATTAAATATTTCCGCAGGACGTATACGTTGATACTGTTTTTGCAAAGGACAGTTTAAGAATCTAAGAAATAGCGATGTGAATTAAGTCAAATGGCTCCCTGAAACTGCTTGACCACTCAATAAGATTGTGACTGATCTTCTTTGTCAATCCAACTTTTCTGTCCTATCCCCACATTACTTGAGATCCATAATATCCAAGCTTTACTTTCCTTAAGATTGAGATTTTTATATATTACAGATTGAGGAGCTGGGAGGTTAGATTTTCACAGGTCCAAGTTTAGTGACTCAGATATGTTTAAATATATATATTCAATTTCAAGATGTGTCTAACTGAATACTAATATTGATTCTAGATGCGAGAACTAAGACATGAAAATCTAGTATGTTTCTTTGGTGTATGTATAAATGCACCACACAGGTATATCATTTCACAGTACTGCAAAAGGGGAAGTTTAAAGGTAAGTTGATTGAAGTAAGTGTTATAAGTAATATGAAATCATTGATTATTTTCAAATGTGTGAAGTATTTTATCAAATAGATACCTGCTCACAGAGATTGAGATCATTCATTCAGTTGCCTCAGTTGCTTCCTCCCCTTTCTCTTGCCCACCGGAGCAAACCTCCTCTAAATGCTTCCCCATGAATTACCTGTGAGCCCATATCTCTCTCCACTTTCTGGACTCATGCTGTCTCTAGTCTTGTCTGTAAGATTGACCCTTTGGTCTCTTGACCCTATTCCCATTGGACTGCTGACCACCAAACTTCCCATTTTGGCTCTATGTCAGTGGTTCCCTTTTCACATGAACTGACCTCCCACTTTCATGACTGCCATCATCAACCCCATCTTAAAAAGCCCACTCCATTCCCTTTTGCCTTGCAAATTACTACCCCATCTTCAATCTCCCATTCCTCTCAAAGAGGCTTGTCTGTATTGTTGGATTATGACTTCATTCCATTCATTCATATAAGTCCCTCATTCTATCTCTCTGGTCACATTTGCTGTCGACACTACAGAACTGAAATGGTTCTAACTAAAGTGACAGTTGCCATAGACAGTGACTGTAACTTTGATGTATCATTTATGCCTCCTTATTGACCACAGAATACCTGTGGTCATTGATGCAATGGCCATAGACATTGTTCTTCTTTGCATTTCTTCCTGTCAAGCTCATTTGGTTTTCTTTTGCTTGATTCCATTCTTGTCTATCTGATCATAGCCAAAGTATAAATGAACATAGGACATACAAACATACAAATAGGAGCAGAAGTATATAATTTTGGCCTTTGAGCCTGGTCTGCCATTCAATAAAATCTGGACTGATCTTGTTGTGTTTCAAATTCCGCATTGTCATCTACCCTGATAAACATTGATTCCCCTGCCTAACAAGAATCTATCCACCTCTAGCTTAAAAAATATTCAATGACTCCACCTCCATTGCCTTTTGGAATGTTCCGAAGCTGCAAGACCCTCTGAGTGAAAAAAATCCTGTACATCTCTGTCTTTTAAGGGCAATCCCTAATTCTAAAATAATGTCCCCAAGTGTGGACTGCCTCACAAAAGGAAACATCCTTCCCACATCGCCTGGTGTCAAGACCATTCAGGATCTTATACCATACAGTCAAGTGACCCCTTACTCTTCTAAACTCCAGTGGAAACAAAAGGGTCAGCCTCATTCTATATACTGAAAGGCCCACCACTTTTCTTTATTCCTCCATTTCTTCTCCAGATGCCCTATCCGATATTAAGTAATGTCTGTGATGGTATTTCTTCTGGTTAAGCATTGTGGACGCTGAAACCTCTGACATCATTTCCCACAACAGATTCTCTTCCAAGCCTTGCCCATATCTCAGTCTAAATTACAACCTCAGCATTTGCTTCAATCTTGATCTTCTACCTTATCATACATCCACTGCCATAACGTTACTCGACTCTGGTGCTGCAGCAATCTGTCTCTATGAAAGATCCTCATCCAGGCATTTCTTCCCCCTCCAGATCTGTGTATTCCATAGCTATTCCTATCAGCTCCCATTCTCCACCCTCCATGCAGATATTTCTAATCAACCTGTTCTGAGATATTACTATATGCCTCTGGAGCAAATAGGACTTAAACCCTTGCCTCCTGGCTCAGAGTTAAGGACAGTACCACTACACTACAAGAGCACTTGAACATTATTTGGGTCACTGGATTAATAGTCTAGTGATGATACCACTGAGCCATTGCTTCTTCTCCACCCTCCATGTGCTACAATTCATCTAATACTGTACAACTGTATACTATTCTCAAACAATTCCTGCTCAAACAATACTCCTTCCTTGCTGATATACATCATATCTCAGTATTCTAATGCCTCAAATTTATAATGCTCACATCTGTGTTTAAACCCTTTTGCCTCTCCACTCCTGACCTTTCTAACTTCCTCAGGAACTCTCCACTGCTCTGAGTCTGGCCTTTTGTGCACCCTGTCTCACCCTTTGTCCCACTTTGGGCAGTTGTTGCCTTAACCATTTAGGTCCTATGTTCTGGTATTCTCATTCTAAACCCCTCTGCCTCTCCAGCTCTCTCTCATTCTTTAAAACAATTATTAAAACTCATCTCTTTCTTATTTTAGTCACTCCTATTGTCTCTTTCTTGATCTGCTGTCCATCTTCATTGTTGTCTCCTCTGTTGAGTACCTTGAGAATTATTATTATATGAAAAGAGCATGCCTGCCTTTCTTCCTTGTGTGCCAGCTATGGCTCAATTGGTATCACACTGAGTCACAAGATCCTGGGTTCTCATTTCAGGCCTGGAGCATAAGAAATTAATGTTCATACTCCAGTCCAGTGCTGAGGAAGCAATAAGTGCTGTCTTTCAAAACTACCACTTGGCATTATTTCCAAAAGAGCTGGATGGTTATCACTGGTATCTTGGCCAATATAGTTGCCAAACTCAGCATCTCCCCATCACCAGACAAAGAGAATTAAGACTTGCTTTTGCATTATGTCTGGTAGTATCCTTTCTTTCAAGCACAGTTTTTTTATTGAAAATAGTACAACGCTTTTGGTAATTCAGCTTTCCATCACAGGACAATTAGAATGTTTTTTCATTTATTGCGTCTTCTTTCAAATGATGGAAATTGTAACACGGGATCCAAATTGTCATCATCTGTAACAGACACAAGTTGCACTTAATTATCACCTTTAACTCTAAAAGAACATCTTAAGGCACTTTTCACATGTACATGCAAAACTGAACTACGTGAAAATATTAAAAATATCTTTCACATTAGAGATGCAAAACGAGTGATTTTCATTTCAGTGCTATCAATGATGAAATATAAAATTATGAAATGTAATTTCAGGGGCATTGCAACTTTGAACATTTGTGATTATTTCCCTCCACTCAAGAAGGTGAATGAAAACATCAGCTCATGTTTATACCAGGAGAAAAACTGTAAATGAATATATTCAATATTCTTTCATTAGGATATCCTGAAAAACACAGATGTTGAACTTGACTGGGTTTTCAAGCTGTCACTTGCTTATGATATAGTAAATGTGAGTACTCGGAAGCCATAGTTTACATTTTCCAGGTAATAAAGTACAGATTCATTGTGATATTCAATATATTCAATTGTGAAAGGAATGGAATTTTAAAACAATCTGATATTCTCTTGAAAATCCATGTAACTTTGAAATGCAACTTTCTGGTTTGATGTTTTAATGAAAAGTCATTCAGGTCTGAAGTATCTGTTATAAAGTTGGTCATCTCTTAATGGTGGGTCAGTCAGTCTGAATTGATGCGTGTAATGTGTTTCTTTTGATTAACTCATATGATGATGGTATTTGCATGGCCAACATACATTACCCATCATTAATTGCCTTTAAGGAGATGGAATTGAACCACCTTCTGAATTGTTGAAGTCCACAAATTAAAAATGCACTCACCTTAGGGAATCCGAGGATTTCGACTCGATCAACGGCAATAAAGGAATAATGATTTGATTTCAAGTCAGATTATCCTGTAATGTGATGGGGAGATCATATTCTCAGTTGCCTGTTGCTCTTTCTAGTAGTAGGTAATAAATGTTTAGAAGGTGCTGACCAAGCAACCTTGCTGATTTGTATAGCACCTTGCAGAAGGCTAACATTGCAGCCATGCTAGTGCAGACTGTCCATGCTTAAAGTGGTGGATGGGGTGCCAATCAAGAGGGCTCCTTTGTCCTGGGTGGTGTGAAGTTTCTAGAGCAATGCTGGAATTGCACTCACTGAAGAGGTGGAGAGTATTAAATCACACACCCAACTAATCCTACCTTGGAGATATGTTTTGAGGAATCAATTGGAGAGTCACTTGTCACAGAACACCAAGTTTCTGACTTGGTCACATAGCCACTGAATTTATGGGGTTCTCCCAGATATGCATCTCATCAATTGCTGCACTCGGAATATTGACAGTGGTGGATCTGGTGATGCCAATGCCATTAAATTTCAAGAGGAGATGGTAAAACTCTCCCTCATGTAGAAACATTATCTAGGGTTGATACACTATCTTTCCCAGGATTCTTTGCTTTCCCAGGTTGGCAACCTCCCTGCTCAAGACTGAGTTAAAATTACCGTCTGGTCTTCATTAGGGTCTGACATGGATAAGTGAACAAGGGGTGAGTTAAAATCACAGCTGGCCATGGCTTTGCAGATCCAGAGTGAGTAAGCAACTGAAGCCATTTGAAATGTCAAGTTCTAACTGACCCAAGGAACCATGATGGTGAAGTGTCGAAATGCTCCTCACCTGTAAAAAGTTCCACATGGTCAGTGTCTCAAAGGGCCTGCCCTGATAAAACTCCTACAGCCTAGCTTCACATGTCAGTCCCTGGTTAGAACTGAGGGCAGAAGTGAGAGGGAAGATGTTTTGGCCCCACTAAACCAGACAGTTCTGGACTGGTAAGACTCATTAGCCTTTGTTGGCAGTGTTCCTAAGAGAAGGTAACTCTGATTTCAAAACCTCTAACTATGACTTAACTAGCCAATGTGTGCATTAGCTAGGAGGAGAGAAGACCACAAATAGTACCAACAGCGATGTTAAAGGTAAATGAGGCTTTTCAGCCTGCTCAGCAGTTCATCCAAGGGAAGAGCTCTCGCAAATTCAGCAGCTAGTTAGTAGCATAGGCTACATCAGGGTGGAGTTAGCTCTAGGACAAGGGATGGGAGATACTGTGAACAAACCCCACCCATTTAAAATATTCAGGAGGCTCAGCAACATGCATCCATCAAAGTTATGGCAGAATTCATGATCATGAGCCTCCCCAATGTTGTTCATGCTTGTAATTTTTTCCTACAATATTAAGTGGAAGAATTATCTCCTCCATCAGATTGGATAGAGTCTCTTAAAAATAGAGTCTTTCTGTTTCTGATGCTGACTGGTCTCTTTTCTTCAGATTTTCACATTTTTATTTCTGATTTCCAGCATTCAGCAGTTTTACTTTCTTTCCACAAAAATAGTCCATTAATCAAAATGTAGCCTTACTCAAAGCCCATCTTCTGCAATTTATCTGACTCTTGTAATATGATGCTTCACATTTAATGCTCCAGAGATCACTGCTGCTCAAGAGTCAACTATCAAAGTGTAATTGAAATCATACTGAGAAAAAAAATTACTCATAGCTAGAAGCAAATGTGTACAAATTCTGGTACCAAACCCATGCAAAACTGAATAAATTCTAATGTAGTTTCCTGGTACTTTATGGAGATTGCTGAAGTTTTAAAGAAGTTGATGCTCCACCACTGTATTAATTCAATCTCTGCATAATTACTGAATTATTTACATTAATAGAGTATAGATAAAATATGAAAGCAAAGAGATCATCCTGGAACTTTACAAAAAAGTCACCAAACTCTCAAGGGCAATTAGGGAAGAGCAACAAAAACTGAAATTGCTGGAGAAATTTAGCAGATCTGGTAGCATCTGTGGAGAGAAAAAGAGAGTTAAGGTTTCAAGTTCAGTGGCCTTTCTTTAGAACTGATAGCATCTAGGAAAAGGTGGTAATTATGTTGATCACAGGGAATGGAGGTGCAGGATAGGGAGGGAAGGAATGAGCAGATAGATGGAGATTGAGCCCAGAGAGAGAGAGAGACAGAGACAGAGACAGAAAGAGAGAGAAAAGGAAGCGGCCAAAGGGGTTGTTGATATAAACCCGGGAAGAGAAAAAGCTAGAGAGGTGATAATGGGGACTATGAGGGCTGAAAATGGGCTGGCTGTGCTGAAAGCAATCCATGTCGTGACAGGACTGGGCTGTGGGGGTGGGTAAAAATCATGGAAGCTATTCAGACTTTAAAATTGTTGAGCTTGATATTAATAAGACCATAAGTCCATTAGAAATGAGAACAGGAGTAGTCTATTCGGCACTTCAAACCTGCTGTATCATTTAATAGGATCATGGCTGATCTGATACCCCTCACATTTACGTTCCTGCCCTTTCCACATAACCTTCAATTCCCTTATTGATCAAGAATCTATCTCATCCTTAAATATGCACAAGAACCGTGTCCCCACAGCTCTCTGTGGCAAGGAGCCCCGAAGACTCACAACCCTCTGAAAGAAGAAATTCTTCCCCATCTTAGTCTTCAATTGGCACCCTTTATTCTGAGGCTGTGCCATCTGCTCCTAGACTCTCCCCTGAGGGAAACATTCCTTCAGCCCCTAAGAATCCAGTATGTTTCAATGAGGTCACCTCTGATTTTTCTAAACTCAGCAAGTAGTGTGCCAACCTGTTTAGCCATAAGACAATCCCTCCATATCGGTTATCATCCTAATGAACCTCTAAACTGATTCCAATGAAATAATATTTTTCCTTAAGGGGATCAAAACTTGTCTGAGTACACCTAATGTGATCTCACCAGCACCTTGTACAGTTGCAATTAGATTTCCCCACTCTTATACTCCAACCTGCTTGAAATAAGGGCCAATATTCCTTTCGCCTTCCTGATTACCTGCTGTCCCTGTGTGCTAGCCTTCAGTGCTTTGGGTACAAACAACCCCAAGTCCCTTGTGTTACAGCTTTCTGCAGATTTTCTCCATTTAAATGATATTCTGTTCTTTTGTTTTCCCTTCCAAAAGAACAACTTCACATTTTTCTGCATTGCACTCCATTTATCAACTTATTGCCCATTTATTTAACCTATCAATATCTCTCCATAAACAGTTTGTATCCGTCTCACAATCTGCCTTTCCACCTATTTTTATGTTGTTTCCCAATTTGGCTATAATACATTCATTTCCGTCCTCCAAGTCATTAACATTTGTTGTAAACAGTGGCGGTCCCAGCACTGATCCCTGTGGTACCCCACTGGTCATGTGTCACCAACCTGAAATATAATCCCTTATTGCCATTCATTGATTCCTGCCCATTAGCCAATTTTCTATCCTTCAACACTGTGGGCTCATCTTATAGCTGAAGCTTTTGTGAGGTACCGTGACGAATGCCTTCTCCTAGTCCAAATACAACACATCTACTGGTTCTCCTCTATCCATTCTAATAAATGATAAACAATCAGTGTTACAGACAGAAATGTCCCAACTTTTCTAACTTCTTATCATACTTGAATTCCCACATCCCTGGTGATACCCTGATAAACTTACTCTGTATGCTTTTTGAGACTGTAAGAAATATGTGGCTGAAAAGGTCATTTGTCCCATCGAGCTTTGAGTCCTGAAGGCTGCAGAGTTCCCAGGCAAAAAGTGAGGTACTGTTCTTCCAGCTTACACTGGGCCTTTTTGGAACACTGCAGTAGCCTGAGACAGAAATGTTAGCTAGGAACATGTGGGTGTGTTGAAGTGGCAGGTAACTAGAACCTTGGGATCATTTTTACAGACAGGCTGTAGGTGTTCTGCAAAGTGATCTCCCAGTCTGTTTCATCTCCCCCAGTGTGAAGGTGTCCATATGTGACCTGCATCACCCCAAAGCTGTGTCTGGACCTTGGATAGTGAGGACAGAGGAGATAAACAGGCAACTGTTGCACCTTCTGCGATTGCATGGGGAAGGTGCCACGGGGCATTGAGAGTGGAGGAGGAGTGGACCAGGATGTCCCAGAGGGAATGGTCCTTGTGGAATGCCAACAAGAGACTGGAGAGGAATATATGTCTGGTGGTGGCGTACATGGCTGCTTATGATCCTACAATAAGCAACAAATACTGGTTTCGCCAGAGACACCCACATCCCAAGGAAGACTAAAAGAAAATCACTGATTAGGCCACTCAGATGGTGTACCATGAACAGTTCCCAGCGTATGGGAGGAAGTAAACACTTTATATTCACTGGAGTTTAGAACAATGAGAGGTAATCTTATTGAATCATATAAGATTCTGAGGGGGATAGATTCTATGAGGATATTTCCTCTTGTGAAGGTATCTAGGAGGACAGTTTAAAGATAAGGGGTTTCCCAAAGAAGGTGGGGCTGAGGAGGGATTTCCTCTCTCTGAAGATCATTAGATTTTTGTTTTCTATTTCACAGAGAGCATCGGAGGCTGGTCATTGAATATAATCAAATCCAAGTTAGATGAGTTTTTTTTATTGACAAGGGAGTCAAGGGTTGTTATAGATAGGTTGGAAAATAGAGTTAAGGGCACAGCCGAATCAGTCATGATCTTATGAGTGGTGGAGAAAGCTCGATGGGACAAATGACCTTTTCCGCCACCTATTTCTTATAGTCTCATAAAGCGTACTAAGTAGGTTTATCAGGGTGTCACCAGGGATGAGGGAATTCAAGTATGATAAGAACTTAGAAAATTTAGGACATTTCTGTCTGTAACACTGATTGTTAAAAGATGATCCAGTAGAGGTTTTCAAGTTGACAAGAGGTTTTGATAAAGAGTAAAACTGATCACTTTGATGAATAGATCAATAACCAGAGGTCAAAGATTCAAAATCATTGGCCAAAGATCAAGCATAGAAATGCGGAGAATATAGTTTTCACTCAAGATCTGAAACTACTCTAAGAGGGCAGAAGCGGAATCCATAAAGATTCTTAGGAGGGATTTGGACATGTACTTGATGAAGAGAAACCTAAAAAGGGTTGAAAATAAAAAGTAGGAATACAGGTCTAAATGTATTTGCTTGTTCTAGGGCAAGCTCAGGCACAATGGCCTACCTCTGTACTATAGGTAGTTTTAATCAACCTGTTCAGACATATTATGCCACATCCCTGGAGCAGGCGGGACTTTAACCTGGGCCACAAGAGCCCACTTCTACACTGTAAGCTTCTAAGATTTTGAACCAGTATTTTATTAATTACACCTACAACATTGGTTTTTGCCTTAGATGTTTTCAGGTTCAGTGTTACTGATCATAATTAAGTGAATCTATTGTAGTAAATATCTCCAAGCAAAGGCAGCAGAAAAGATGGAGCTAAGAATATTTTCTTTTAACATAGGGAATGGTATTTTTACATAATAGCCCACTAAAGTCTCATGGCAATTTAAAACCTAAAACCTGTCTGGTAGACAGTCGGATGCAAGTGAAGATATCAGGATTTGGCCTCTGGGAGCTTCGATATGGAACGAAAAGGAAAGTAATCACCACAGAAGATGTGAACTGTGAAGGTACATTCAATCAGTGTTAAGCAGTGGTTCAGTAAAAGCTTGCCTTGAGGAATATGCTAACTATTTCCCAAGTATCAAATTTATCTTCTTGCAGAACTCTACTGGACTGCTCCTGAACTGTTGCGACTCAGTGAATACCCACTGAATGGGACACAGAAAGGAGATGTGTATAGTTTTGCCATTATTATGAGAGAGTTACTGTACCATGGGGATAGTGGACCGTTCCATGATTTTCAGATGACACCAGAAGGTAAAACAGCCATTTGTATTAATTGTTTCAGAGATAGCAGGAACTGCAGATGCTGGAGAATCTGAGATAACAAGGTGTAGAGCTGGATGAACACAGCAGGCCAAGCAGCATCAGAGGAGCA